CCTGTAATTTCACCAGCACCCTTACCCTGCAAAATCGAAACGCATGAATGCTGACATTACTGCTTGGCGGCAGAAGTAGGTAAGGTAGCAGTGCTATTCTGGACGAACTCTATCACAAGGTTCTATCGCTTGTATAATAGATATATATATCAACAGCGTAAATACAAGAAGCAGAGCTACATTAAATTGATGCGTTCCCCCTTTGTACGGCTGTACTACGTTAAGCTGGGTAGCTGTTAATTATTGAGATCTCCTAGTCGATTATTATGATTATCGCTAATCACAGGTTTCTCCAAATTCAGAACGGTTTCGCGTTGCGTGGTGACGGTTTACCGAAACATAACTAATAATAATAATAATAATACCCACGAAAGTCTTAAAATCTATGTAGACTATCTAATATATATCTGTGCAAAATATTTTATAATTTCAATGAATATTCACGTCAAATCGAGTTAAAATTTCATTGTTTATACATTTCATGGTCGCCAGACTGTATTAAAACCTTTAACCGCTTGCTCTACGCGTCTTTTTTAACAACTTGTTCAATGTACGGATTTTTGTTTAAATACTGCATTCAAAATGTAATCGACTTAGTCTCAATTCCTTATAGTAAAATTAGAGCAGGTTCTGGAGTAAGTTTGTATGCAAAAATGTGCAGACAACTTTCTACAAGTGGATGTTTTTTTTTATAACAAGTGACAGGAACAGTGCAAAATATAAGTAGGAAAAAGCCTTTAGTAGCAGTAGAGCTCCTTGTGAAAGAGTTCGTCCAGGGAAGTACTGCCACCATACCTATTTCTGCCACCAAGCGGTAATGTCAGCATACAGTGTTCCGGTTTTGAAGGGTAAGGGTGCTGGTGAAATTACCGGCACATGGGACTTGTCAACTTATATCTCAAGGTGATGGGCGCAGTGGCAGTGTCCCTCAGATCTTTGCGATTTAAGGCTCTGAGTGGCACTGCACCTGTTATGGACAGGCGTGTAGCTTACCATCAGGCGCACGACTTGTTCGTTCCGTCACTGGATATTATAAAAAAACTTGATGATATATAAAAATTATCATCAATTGAAGCTAAAATTAGTTTCCAAAAATCGGATTATTTTTTAATGATATGTTTAGTTTTATTTCAATTGCGAAAATAGTTTTTCTAAAGCTACTAACTACTGAAACTAATAAAGTTATCCCACGCCTTACGCTCATTGTCTAATGAATATTCATTAATATTGAAGTTCATAGAATTATTCGCGAATGTGCTACGGTTGAATAGCGCCAAACTATTATTCACAAGGAAAATAATCATATGGTAGTGAAATTGTTCAACATGTTTGTAGAGCAAGTATGTGAATTAATGAGTTAAACTTAACAATTAATTTACCAATCTTCTGTCTGATTTTTGTTTACTTCACAATTTTGTACATACTCTATTAAAATTAATTAAAAATATTATATTTATAAATGTATTAAAATATTGATTTAGTGGTCCATTATCATAATCAAAAAATTTTTTATTTTTATTTTAGATAATGGACCATATTAATAAAAAAAACCTTTTTTACAATAATTGGCATAAACGTGCTTGATCCCTAGACACTTTTTATGTGTACACATATATTTGAATCAAGCAATAGTTGTTAGGTTCTAGTAAGGGTGTGCTCAGCCTTTAAAAGGATATAAAATAGGATTTTCTATAGAGGTATATTAAATAAATAAATTATTGTGTAAGTGGCTACAAGAAGCAAACAAACACTTGTGCGTAATTTGAAGTAAGTAATAATAGTTTAAGGGTTCTACGAATACTTAGATAGAAATACAATGTGTACTTTTTTCAGAATTCGGCAAAATGTATATAATATACTTAACTGCCTCCGTGGCCGAACGGTTACCATACCGGACTGCCACGCAGAGGTCCCCGGGTTCGATTCCCGGGCCGGGAGAAATATTTGTATGGCCTACATTTATTTCTCTCGTGAGTTTGGGTGTAATTTGTGGTTGTCTATGTGTGTGTCCATGGCACCCGCGACACAGGGTTTCCCTAGTGCGGGGCTATGTTGAGTGTGTGCGTTATTATTATTATTATTATTATTATTAAAAATATATAGAAATACATTTTCTATGGTGAAAATACTGCATTTCGTTTTGAGGCAAGGTTTGTTAATATACTATTAAATCCACGACTTAAAAATAAGGTAAAGAATTACTGATTTACTCACAATTAACTTCCTTAATAGAGCTCCTTGTGAAAGAGTTCTTCCAGGGAAGTACTGCCACCTAACCTATTTCTGCCACCAAACAGTAATGTGAGCATTACTCTGTGCTGGTGAAATTACAGGCAGATGGGACTTGTCAACTTATATCTCAGGGTGACGGGCGCAGTGGCAGTGCCCCTCAGATAGAAGCGATTTAAAGCTCTTGAGTGGCACTGAACTGTTGTGGCCAGGCGTGGCACCATGCGCTCGACTTTTTCGTCCCGTCACGTGGTTGGTAAATTTGATTTTAAAGTTTCAAACTCTACTTTGAAATATTTTTTTCTGACTATAAATAGTTAATGACTTACAAATAGTTAATCGTTCTTAAAGTTGATGGAATAAAGACCACAATTAATTAAAAGCAGGAGTTCTCTTATTGCTGTCTTCTACGCCATGGTCAGTTCTAAGGATGATAGCCTAGGTTATGTCCGTCGTAGCTATTTTCCATATTGTAATGGCGCCCAGCCTAACGTGCAAGCACGATCTCGCCGCGTGTCAATCAACTCGCACAACTTTGCGTTGCACAGGGAAAAATAACCCCACATTTACATATTTTTATTATCATACTACCCCTATACTTCATTGTAGTTTACTTTGTAACAAATTGGCGCATTTTTTATATGGACACATTGTACATTTTAATTGTTGTGACCGCCAATACAATATAACAGTTTCATTTCTTAAATATAAATACAACATCGTTCACATTAAGTCATTGAACAATGTAGGTGATTGTAAGAATCTTGAAAATTGAACCCATATATTAATAAGCAAGGGCTTTAGATTATACGTAGGAAGTAGAGTCCTCCGCAAAATATTTACAGCTCTATTTAGTGCATAATGATTTAAAACAAACTGGAAGTCTCCATAGCCGCAAACATTTACACTATAATTGCTCCATAAATGATAGTTTCCGATGATGGCATAGCTACATAGACCAGTGCTGATGTGTGAACTCACCATAACTTAAATGCTACTTAATGAAACTCATTCTCGTGTAGTTGCAATTATTGACCTTCACTGTTTCCTGATTACTGACTATTGAGTTTTCACTTTGATTCCAACTGTTACTTTATCGAGGATTATGCGCGGATGCGACTGCGCGCGAGACGGCTAGTCGCAGTGCCGTGTCGCGCGCGCCGGCGTCAACTGTTGGGGTTACGTAGGCCGCGCGGGAGCGTGTGCCGCCGCCGCCGCCGCCCGCGCCGGCGACGTTTGACCTTATTTAATTAGTTCGTTCGTTTTACTCTTTAAACGTAACGTTACTTATTAAAATGTGTAACCGCCTAATTTACTGTCGCCAGCAACACTATTAAAATGGTTTATACAACATTACCTTCTACAAGTGTACCTAATGCATACGTCAATGGCATGTTTTGTCCTAAATCTATAACATACTAAAAGATCGCAATCTATTTAAATCAGTACAGGCAATTGTGACTCAACACAATGCTATTACGACTGAGAATTAATAGGTAAACGTAAAAGTAGGCACCTACCTAAATATAAACGGATGTATCCTATCGTATGTTGTAAACCTTGGTAGGTGATGCAAACCGCGATGTCTTGTGTTATTTCTGTTTTTGAGTTCATCCACCCCGTGTTTCGCCACGTATTTCACTCGATCCGAAGCGCGGATTAACATTGACGAGATAAAAGCTTCACCTCCTTCCTACGTAGATTATACTCTAGCATTCACGCCCCACAATATCCACTCGTGCCTACAAAATAATAGCAACACGCCAAAGGGATTGGGGAATTATTTCATTCGGTTTTGAAACAAAATCTAGACAAAGAACGTGTAGGTCTGCGTGTATTTAAATAAAAATAAAGTTTTTATTATTACTACCCTTTTACAACATAGAATGTATTATTTTTTATTGTCATTAGTCATTTACGAAGCAACATGACGAACTTTGCAGGAGACCAGTTTTTACGTTGTTGACTTGGCGGTGGCGTTGCAGAGAACACATTGGCACCTTGACTACGTGGGGGCGCTCAGACTAAAATATCCCTTACAAAGTTTCGATTTAAATATCATAAAGTTTCTCAACGCCACAGAGATTCGCTACGTAGCGAGCATCAGTATATTACCTAGATCAAAAGCTTTCACCGAACATCAACTCTGTAACTTTGCTCGGCATTAAAGTCGGGTTAAGATGAGAACTAATTGAACGGGGTCCCAACAACCCACAAAGCTATTTTAAACTAAAGTTCGTTAGGGTAGATCCATAGTCATATGCCATTTATAATATAAACGACGTGTAGATTTTGTTCACGACGATAATTTCAAACTTATATGTGTATCTTTTTTTTTTAAACCGACCTCAATTGTTCGTGGAATTACATTTATTGCCAAGTTTTGCTGAAATCGAAAATCGATTACCAGAAAGCGCGCGAAACCGGATTCATCCCCTACTTTGCCACCCTTAGAGGTGGAATATTTTTTTAAATTTAAATGGGACCACTACTGAGGTACACTCTTTCCTACAAGAATCATCAAAATCTGTTCACAAATGCCGGAACTAACGCTTAACATTCATACAAAAAGCTCCTCCTTTTTGAAGCCGGTTAAAAACGTGAAAGGAATGTTTTTGTTTTTTTTTACTTTACTGTATTAGTTTGCTCTTAAATCTCCGTCACACGCAAAAGTTACCCAAAATGATCTTTTTTAAAAGACACATCCTGACATCTATTGCATATATGCGTGTATTAAATATTAATTGCCAAATATTGTTTTGCATTTTCAGTGCAATGAAGATAATGCTAGGCAAGCTGCCACGGCCGTGGATCGTCGACGACGCGAAGGATGATGGCTATACGGCGCTGCACCTGGCGGCGCTAAACAACCACGCCGAAGTGGCGGAGCTCCTAGTGCGCGGTGGCGCCAGGCCGGATCTGCAGAACGCTAATCTGCAGACCGCGCTGCACCTCGCCGTCGAACGCCAGCACACGCAGATCGTGCGACTGCTCGTAGCACACGGCGCCGATCTTAACATCTGTGATAAGGTTTGTTCTAAAGTTGTTACTTTTAATGCCGTCCGCTGACTAAAACTAAGGCTAAGTGACAACATATTTTTTAGAGATATTATAAAAAACCATAACCCAGTTTTAGAATGAAACTGAAACTGTTCAATGGTATTTCAGCTATGCATCGTGAGGGTAGATTCCGGTAAGTCGAACACGCTAATTAATTTTAACTGTTTTCAAAAGAGAATTATGTGCTTTATTTTTTCTGATTAAAACGGATATTTGACCATTTGTTACTTACTCGCGTGTTAGTTAGTGTACGGCAGTTTACTTGTGTTCAAGTCTAATTGCATTCATCAACACATAAGG